AATATTATATGGAATTGAACGAAAATGAAAATTTGCTTGATAATTCAACTACGCTTGTTGGAGAACAATAAAAACACTACACTCAACAAGCCACCAATAAAACTGAACTGCCTAACCTATAACCAAAGTCTCCTTTTAATTTGTTTTTAAAAAAAAGCGCTTGACAAACTTGCCCCGCATGCTGAAGTTGCCCCGGTCTCCCCTACACACACATAAACAGATATAAGCCTATATATTGAAAAACATTAAGACATTTCTTTATACACTACATTATAATTAAATACTGTACTGTCTTTTAAAAGTTTTCCTTACCGTCTTCGTTTAGTAATACTCTTTAATATTGTTTGGATGATCGACGTTGTGATTCCTCTTCTGAAGCGCTTGACGAAGCCATTTCTCAATTCCACGCTAATAAAACAAATATGAATTGCATGTACAGAACGTTAGTTAGATAAGCGATAACTCTATCTAAATACTCGTTAGATCGTTACTTCCGATTGAATAAAATTAGAACGATTTGTAAAAAATTTCTTATAGAAAAAACACGATGCCTCTATCCTTTTTAAAGTTTAAATTTTAATTTTAATAAAGTTAGTATAAAATACGCCATTTGCCGTAATGTTTAAAATTGCAGCATAAGGTAAATTTTTTGGTCTAGTACGAACGTCACGTGATCACTGACGCCACTGCAACGTGTGTTAAATCACTGATCCAAAATCGATATGACGTTTGTTCTATAGCTAAAATTTATACAAAATAAATAGCCGACACTTTCTGTCGGATAATAAAACATGAATATAACAAAAGTTTCATCTGCATTAAACAAAAGTCACACGCACACAGAGACATACAAACCACGTCTTTTATGTTAGTAATTCGTAATTCTATCAAGAATTGAATTTTTCACTTGTTTATTTTACAATTTCACGTTAAATCTGCAGTAGTAATGAAATATATTATATGACAATTACAATACTTTAAAATCAATTGTATACAATTTTGATATTTGTAACTAATAATGATGTATGTGCACATTAATATAGTTTAAAATAACGTTACAAATGTTGTCATTGAATTTTTTTCATATAAATTTCCTTGATTGTAAGCGTCTTCTTAATATTTTCAGTACCTGTACTTACTTGAATAAACTCCGTTTGTTAATTGTATATTTAATTGGTGTGTTACAATATTTTAAACATTTGTATTAAGTACGAATAATTAAATTTATTTGGATAATGTGCCGAATAAAAAAATGTAATTAAAATTTTTTTGATTAATCTTTTTATCGTGTTGTTATTTCTTCATTTATTTAAGAATTATTGTTGAGAAGAAGGCTTATCCTTATGAATAGGCTGCTTGTCAGCCTCTACCATCTCTAATTTCTTTTTCTTCGATCCCCCTTCTCTGGCTGTTTGTGCTTCTTCGTTCTCTCTTTTTTCTGATTCCTGTAAGAAAAAATATCATTGTGACAAAATTAGAATTTTTGTATTAATTTTAATGTTTTATTTTGTTAAAATTTTTATACTTAAATACAAATATTTAAAAAATATTTCTTCATTTATTTAAGAATTATTGTTGAGANTTAAATAGTATAATGGAAGCCAAATTCTTCACGGTAAGCCTTAATCCTGTCTCTCTCCCCCGCGGAGGGAATATCGAAAAATTTGTTGTTAGTGTATATTCTGTTGACGTACCCTATTAAAACGCAATCAAAAACGCAAAAATCCGCATCTAAAATAGTATAAATAGAAGCAGAGTTCTTTACCTTAAGCCTTATTCCTAACCATCTCCCTTCACTGCGGTTGAATTTCGACACGTATATTATATAAAAACACGTGTGTATTCGAATGCAGCGTTATGTCAAAATTTCAAAGGAATCGGTAGGAACAAACGAACGTTACATTTTTATTTATATAGATAGATAGAAGATGATCCGCTTTAGTTCATTTTCACAGAAAAGCATAATGCCTCACAGAAAAGCAAACTTAGGGCGTCGTACTCGTAGTGCCATCTGTTGGACATAAAAGCCTTAACCTAGATTATATCTTTTAATTTATTTGAATATTTAACGGAATAATATACAGCCTATATCCACCCTGAAGTTTCATTCTAAATATTGGTGAAAGGATTTTTGAAATCGGATGAGTAGTTTCGGAGATTACGTGCTGCATACAAACTAACATATATACAAACATTACCTCTTTATAATATTAGTATAGATTATGACAAACATACAAGAAAAATAATGAAAATAAACCAAAATCAAAACATTTAACATACAAAGTCGATCATGATTCAAGCTTCTGATACCATCTTTAAATTGTCTGTAGGTTTTCTCATTTTTGTGTTCTTTTTTAGACAATTCCAATTGTATAACATTTAGTAGATTGGCATATTTCGGCCGAAACAATGTTCGAATGTTCGCAGTAGCAGGATATTTTCCCATCTGTAACGTCTGAATAAGTGTCCGTTACTCTTAAAAGACCTTTTGGAAATCTTTTCCTTTTCGCGTAACATCGCATACTCAAAGAAGGCAATAATGAACCATTTCTGTACCAACTTTTCTAAAGCATCACTTTTCGCGCAAACTAATTTAAACTAAGTTACGCCGGGTGTTCGACGACATCGAAGTGACGTGATATGGCACACGAAGAAGAAAACTTTGTATTTAGATGGTCGGTAGTTCATTTTGCAGGTTAGCAATAAACGATTTTTTCTTGCAAGTTTAAATAATTTAAAGCTATTTATAAGCAATTCTTTTACATATGTCGATGTTATCATCGACATATATAAAAGAATTGCTTATAAATATATAAATAAATAAATATATATATTTATATAATTATAAATATATATAGTTGTGAGAATCTCAGCTATTGCAAATTACTTAGTATAAATCTGATTTAACGGTTTTTTGTCTAAAACAATAAATCAATAAAGAACAAAACTTCCATGTCACAGATGCAGTCAATGAACTTCATAAACTTTTCCCACAGACAGTACTTCTTTCCTGCGTTACACAGATTCCAAAAACGTACTAATCGAGAGAAATACAGAAAAAATCGCAAATTGGAGAAATCATCAACTTCACCATAAATGAGGATTAGAGTAGCAGGGAGAAAACCCGAAATGAAAGGTTGACGACAAAGCGTTTGCCTGTCAAAATTTGCGAATGCTTGTGTTATGGAGTACAGTTCAGTCGCTTAAAATCACATAACTATTTTATTAATGCATTACATAAATTATCTTACAATTATATCGTTATTTTATACTTTCAACGACGATAACATTGAGAAAGTACGTGTATTATATAAAAAGCAAATGCTTCTAGATCGTTTAAATTAATTAATATTTGTAAGAAATGATCTTTTCTTAGTAATCTCTAAAAAATATTACCGACCATGTAAAATCACCTACAGATGGAAAAATAACCTGCTACTGCCAACATTACAATATTGCTTCGGCCGAACCGCGCCGATCTACCGAATGATATACAATTACAATTATGTAAAAGAAGAAATCTTAAGTGTGAATACCTATAAACAATTTAAAGATGCTATGAAAAGCTTGAATTTTGTTTGGCATTTTATGTTGTTTGTTTTAATTTAGTTTTATTGTCGTCATTGTTTTTCTTAAATGTTTGTTATGGTGTATTTTTTTTGCTTGAACACTTGTAAAAGACTTACGGGCACAATGTGATAAATAAATAATAATATTAATAATGTGAAAAATAGTAATGAAAACACCGCTAATTATTTTGAACATATTCCTTATTTCAAAAGTGTAATAGCCCAAATATTGTAACTTTCTTATTCGTGTAAAGTCGCACACTCAAGCTGAGTATTAGCAAAACCGTCGTTTACTGATTATAGAGCAGAAACAGTTAAATAATAATAATAATTCAAAAATACGTTAGAAAACAAAGATAAGACAGAGTGTAAATATATTAGTTTTCTCAGATGCGTTTCTCTAATACAGAAGCTATTATATCGTTCTGTTTCCTCAATTACTCAGGTTCTGATTCCCGCACAATTAAGCATGCTCAATATTATCAAAACAACAATCAAGATATTACATTATTTGTCTGCATTGTTGTTTTCTATTTTGAAAAATATCGACTTTGAATTAAAAAACCGAATTTAATAATTAAATTTAAATAAGTAAACTCATAATGGTAAGTGAAATCTTTTATTTCATCTGTATCATACATTTTTAATTTTCCAAACTGTTTTATCAAAAATTCATGAAATAACGCGAACTTTGAATTTTAATTAATCATATATCGGCGATAGAGTACATATTATAAAAATATAAACATAATATTATAATATACAAAAATAATTCATATTATCGTAAATAATTTTTCGTTAAGTTTGTCACTAATTATTTTTATTCAACAAATTATTTTAAAAAGACAGAAATCACCAATGCACGGAATGCGGTAAAAAGTTTCCTCGTAAAGGACATTTGCAAATTCACATGCGAATTCATACCTGCGAAAAGCCGTTTAAATGCGGTTTTTGCGAAAAAAGCTTTACGAATAATGGTAATTTGACAGGGCATTCGGATGAAAAGCCATTCAAGCGCAATTACAAAGGCTGTGAATCGTCCTTTAAAAGAAAAGGCAAGTTGGAAAAACACTCGTTTTTACGTCACCGTAACGAATTTTTATCCAACGTAAATATTACAGGAAGTTTCTACATTATTATTTTTATATTTCGATAGTTAAGACGATGAAATTTATAAAATTAACAAATACAACATCTTTTATATACACCGATAGATTTATGTCGGATGATATAAAAGATGTAATAATTTTACAAATACTAATTAATGAATCTAATTAATTAATTAATAAATTAATATTCCCATTGATAAAGACGAAATACGTCTTTTACGCGTTGTTATTTTCTAATTTAATATTTGCCTTTTATAAAGTAGGAACACCAGAGATGTGTTTGTATTGTTAACGGTGTTATTAAACTATCACATCTTGTTCTGTCAAAATTACGAATTATATTACGTTTTTAAGATTAAATTCAAATTACAGTAGAAAATATTTCCAAAAAAGTTGTATGTCTGTGCGTAATTGCCAATGTCAATAATAAGATCAAAGCAAAGTACTCTAACCTGTCTTTCACCACCCGGCCGCCCCATTCTGGACCTGGCCGAACCCATGATGGGCTCACTGAAATAGGTACTCTTAGTGCCCATAAAACGGAAAGACTTAAAAAACATAAATAAAGCAAACTAATTTGCCACACCTTCTTAGCTATATTTATATAAAATAATTTCTATAGGCCTATACATAGTTTAATAAAACTTTAATAATACCTTTTAATTTTAAAATCGCTACACCGAAATCAATCGTCGAAATCAACGTTTTACAATTTCTATAAACAATTGAAATTTACTAGTTTCATTTAAAGAGTTACGTTTTGTGTTTTCATGCATTATAAATAATTAACTGAATATTCATTGAATAATTAGATTCCACCAAGCGACCCGAAGATAAAACTCTGTACAGGTATATGTGACATATTTACAGTACAAAAGTTTTCTTATATCCATCTGCTCTAAGAGGTCACAGGAGCACTCACACCGGAGAGAGGCCATTTTCGTGTAATTTTTTGCAACGGCACATTCATATCAAAAGGTAACTTAAACAGACACATGAGAAAAATTCATCCGGGAGAGAAAACTCCATCTTGCTTCGAGGTAAGTATATAAATATGTTAATGACTTTACTTTTAACACACAATCGACTATTAAAATTAAATAATAATAACAATAATAACTTCACTTATTTAACGAGCACACATTGTTTCGATACCAAAACTGCTTACAGCATTGTAAGGAGTTTTGAACTTGTAATTGATGCAAATGGATTGATTGCACATTGAACAAATGTTGTCAATAAAAACCTTTTGCGTGTTTCTATTTTGTGTTTCTTGTTCTTTACGCGCCATTTTTTCATCTAGTAGTAAAAGTTCGAACTAAATATTTTTTTGCATTTTCCTTTTCCCCATGGTCCATGTAACATATGTACCAAGTTTCATCAAAATATATCGACGAGAACGGTCTGAGTAGCGCAAGTTTAATTATAACCAACCTGTATATAAATAATACAGTATATAATTATCTGATATTACATATTTTTACGCAATCCACATATCAGTAAATGGTGTACAGTTATGTTATTTACGTTGTTATTTACTTTCAGGAAAGTACACAAGACGGTCAACGAGAGCAGAAAGAATTGCTTGAACAACCATCAACAAGTTTTCAAAGACCACAGTCAATAGAATTTGAAGAAATTTCTTTAGAAGAGAATCTTTTTACTTCAAAAAAAGTGAAAAATTTTTTGAAAATGTTAACGTCGATTTAGAAATTATTCAATTGGAATTATTGTCGCAACTGGAATTCTTCCCAGAAATAGACGTTGAACAAACTAAATTGGAATGTCCGTTCTGTGGTAAACAATTTTTAGACGAAGTTTCACTAAAAGAACACGAAAGAAACTCTCATCCATCTGATTAATTAATTCTGGACAACTAATTTTCAAAATATATTAAATTAATAAGATATCAAATTATTAATATTTCGATATTTAATAACGAAAGCAAAATTGAATATTCAGTGCAACTACTTCATTTACAGTTGGCATTAAATGTGAAATTATCAGAAAAAAAAACGAATTTAATTTACAGCGAAAATTATTTAATATAAAGTTCATAAAATTTGAAGGAAACAAAATTTCGAAAGTTACTCTTGCTTATTTATAGCTTCACGAAAACTAGAAGACTTGAACATGGACAAAACACTAAATTTTCTTATCTTTGTGAAATCGATAAGCTTTAATTTAATAAATTTTTGTTTAAAAAATTAGACTTTTTATCTATTTGAAGATAATTATTTACTTTACTTTATAAGCATTTTCAAGTGTCCAAAACAAAATACAAATACACCATAAAAGACATACAGAAAAAACACTTAGCTTAAGCGTAATTCAAGCTTTTGATAGATTCTTTAAATTATTTGTATTTTTTCAAATCTTTATATTTCTTTTTTACAACATTCCAATTATATATGATTTGGTAGATGGGCGTTGTTCGGCAGGAACAGTGTTCGTATGTTGTTAGTAGCAGACAGTTAAGAGAATAAATCAGAAGTGTTATAATAGTTCCGTAAAAAACGAGTAAAAAGCATGCCATAGTCATTTTATAAGAGTATTTAGATACTGAAAGGAATCTTCTCGAGAATGATGTGTTATTTAATAAAAGTAGTAAGTCGACTGCATTGTATGGCACATTGAGCAAAGTTTATATTGTAAAATTTCTATTTTATTTTAATTAAAAGTTAATATAAATAAAAATCATTAAATAGCATTTGCTGGTGTCGATTAATAATAGAAAACGTAAAAGAAATTGAAAATTTCAAAGAATTTCTTTTGTCGTTTAAAATTGAATATATTTATGGTATTAATATCTTGCATATTTATTTTACAAACACGTCATTCAGACAGTAAATAAGGATGCTTTGAAGAAAGAATTTCTTGAACACAGGTTATGAGACTTACTGTTCGAATCATTGATCAATATTTACTGAAAAATGTAAATCTTTTTATGCACTTTTATATAGTAAATATTAAGGAATTTACTTCGCTTATTTTTACAATTCAGGAGGAATAATACGATTACGTAAATGACACAAAATGTATATCCAAAATAGTTGTTAATCTTAGTTTTATTCAAAACCAGAATGACAACATTTTATATGCATTCACAAAATAAAATACAGTGGAACATCGCTTAACGAGCATTCGTTTCAGAATCTTGTTCGTAATGCGAAACAATCGTTAAGCATAACAATTTTTCCCATATAAATTAATGTAAAGTACGACAATGAGTTCCATAACAATTAAAAATACTTAAATATTCCATGTGTAACATTTATTCCATAACTTTAATTCATAATTTGAAAATTACTACCGAGGGTGGAGGCAAATATCCGCGACGTCGATCAAACGTCTTGCTAGCTTTTAAATATCAACGTTTTCTTTCGTTTCGATACAACTTACCAAACAATCAATAAATGTTTTTTTCGATACACATCAATCACAACTATTGGTTGAATCTGCCTATACCGATCATTAAAATGAATACACGGGGTGATTTAAAAGTCACCGAAAGTTTTAAAAATTAATAACTCACAAACTATTTACAGTAAGATGATGTGGTTTTCACAGAAATGGTTAGAAAAAGTGGAATGTTTTTATGTGTAATAAAAATTATAGTATAGGAATCCAGCTTTTTTCTAAGCATTTCTGGAAATACCACATCATCCTACTGTAAATAGTTTGCGAGTTATTAATTTTTTAAAATGATATGATTTTTCAATCACCCTGTATTTGTAAAGCCATGCAATTTGATAAAATGTTATTATACTATGAATTTTAGTTAATAATACAGTCGACCCCCCTATAAGATCATAGATACGTTCCATTCTTTAGGAATCCGATTTCTTACGAGTCCTTCCAATCACAGCTCGACACGTGTGAAGTTTACGGACTAGGACTGATTGAAAGGTTTTCTTCCATAAAATTAATCGATTCTAGACTAATCCGACTCAACATTTCCAAAATACGTATATTTTTTTTGGAAATAATCCGTATAAACTACGCTATAAACAAAAAATTGTAGGATTACTTACCGAGTGTGCACCATTCGACATCGCCATTGCTCAAGCTTGTTTTC